ATTTTTATATAAAAATGTTCTATTTTAAAAAAGTTTAATAGAGATCTTCGATTTTAATGATTTTAATATAATTTATAATTATAATTATAATTTATTTTTTATTATTAGACACATTATTCATTACATTTATATTTTATTCAAATAAAAATTGCATGATATATTACATAAATAAATATTAAGATTAAGTAAATCATATTTATAATACTAGTAAATTACATCTACACAGTGATAAATACAGAATAAAAATTAGAATTTAGAAATTAGGGGACAGATCATATAAAGACCATGAAAATGAACGTAGTACAAATTAAAATAATGGTGTGTGTGTTCGAATAAGAAATTACCGTTAAGGCCACATATTTTCATCGCATTTAATGCTAAATGTGACCATATCTTCATTATACATATGTATATTATGTGCATATCATATTCATACATATGTACAAAATATATTACATAAATAATGTGCATTTTATAAATAAATAATTGCTATTTAGTCATTGGCGTCGGCATCAAACAATAAAGACATTTATCAGAAACAATTCTCTCTCATAAAGCAATTATTCATGGCTTATAAACTTTTGATTGCAGTGAGTTTGAATCAATCCAAGATCGATTAAATTGAATATTTGTGTTGAACTATGTGGATTCAATTAAAAATGTTGCAAATTGCAATCATATCTTGTTACTTGCGATTTGTCGGATGAATACTCGCTCATTCGACAAATTTTTAATCGTTAATTTCTCGTTAATTGCGAAAATCGTAAAATAGTAATTTTCTGCTCAGTTTAATCCATTTCACCGTTTGCATCTCGTTTTAGTTAAAAAAATACTAAGAAGCGCAAGAATAAATCTTGTATGTCTGTATATTTTTATTGTCTAAGATATTACAAAATTGTATTTAAAGTGATTTTAAATATAAAAGATTATGAATACGGCCCATCGATGGAACGGAATTAACGGAATTAAATAAGAAAAAAATATGAAGATATATTCTATCAATAGATACATTATTTTGTAATACAAAAATATATTTTCTAACTTTTTAATAATTTTTTATTTTCAAAGATAAATATCTACTTTTCAAATCCTAATCTGCGCGTTAATAATATCTTAAATTAGATTCAGAGCCAATGAAAAATTGAACAAAATTGTCTAAATTCTTCTTCTAGACTTTAATGTGACAGAGTGCTCTCTTAAGGCAGCCTTTAATATATAAGTGATCATCGCGATATCGCTTCATGGGAATCCGTCCATTCCCGCGTCTGAGAAGTACATGGTGCGTTTCTAGGGAAGTGCGTTGTCATGTTTGCGTCCAGTGCGCCAGAGCGAGACGGCGGTGTTGTTCGTTGACTGCTCAGAAAACGGCGGAGTCATTTCGAGTTTCCTGTAGAACGGTGAATACTTTGAACAATGTCGGCGAGATATGACAGAGCGATCACGGTGTTCTCGCCGGATGGGCATCTGCTCCAGGTGGAATACGCCCAGGAGGCTGTCAAGAAAGGCTCGACAGCGGTACGTCGAACAGTTTGACCTAACCTCACTACCTCTTGACTTTAAATGCCACTTTCGAGAATTTCACCGGCTTCTCTCGTCTCATCTGTTAATCTGTGAATTATTTGTTGTCACGCGCGAGAAATTTTTAGTTATAATTGTGTGTTTTTATTCATCTACCTTGCCTTATGACTCTGCGAATTTTGTACAGGTTAGGTTAACAGTTTCCCAACAGGTTTCACAACAGATTCAGTATGTCTCATTTCTGTCATCCTTGTCATGTCATATCGCAATGTTTATTCGTATAAAAAAAAAAACAATTTTTATTCATGTTATTTTTATGTCGTAAAAAGCATAAAATTTCCAGCTAAACAAAATTCTTAATAAAATCAATATTACTTTTATTTTTAACATACTTTTAGTTTGTTTATATATGTTATGATTTTTTTGTAAAAACAGGTTGGTGTACGTGGAGCTGACGTTGTAGTATTAGGCGTTGAAAAGAAGTCTGTCGCTAAACTACAAGAAGAGCGCACGGTGCGAAAGATATGTCTTCTGGACGATCATGTAATTATGGCCTTTGCAGGTATGAAAATAGCACAAAGATAAATATGAGACTTGTTTTTTATTGATTGATTATCCTAAAACTATCTTATTTGCTTTTCATACATCTATTTCATTTCAAGTATGTACATTGGTTCAAGAAGTATAAAGAACAGGTTTACTAAATTTTGTATATTGCACAAATAACAATAATTGTTTTTGATCTTCTTAATAGGCTTAACTGCCGATGCAAGAGTGTTAATCAACCGTGCACAAGTTGAATGCCAGAGCCATAAGTTAACTGTAGAAGATCCTGTTACTTTGGAATATATCACAAGGTATATTGCAGGTATGATTGAAATAGATTGTTTCACTAGAAAATTGTTTCAATAGAAAATTGTGACCATTTATTACATCTTTAAATTATTTCTATGTAATTGTTATTTGCAGGTTTAAAACAGAAATATACACAGAGTAACGGCCGTAGACCTTTCGGAATATCTTGTCTCCTAGCTGGATTTGATTACGATGGTGTCCCACATCTTTATCAAACAGAACCGTCAGGAATATATTACGAATGGAAGGTACATACATATTAAAGACAGATTAAAACATTTCAAATGTTTTGCTGGATAGGATAATTGAATAGCTAAATTGATATCAATTATCTCTTCCACAGGCAAACGCGACAGGTCGCAGCGCTAAAACTGTACACGAATTCTTGGAAAAATATTATACCCCGGAAGAGGTATCTACGGAAAAAGGTTGTATAAAATTAGCTATCAGAGCGCTACTCGAAGTAGTTCAATCTGGACAAAAGAATCTAGAAATAGCAGTAATGCGACGTGGGCAGCCGTTACAGGTATATTTTTCAATAATTTTTGTGCATCTTTTTTTGAGACATAAATTTGTAATAACAATACATATAATACTTCAGATGTTGGATACAGATACTATAGGTGAATATGTAACGGAAATCGAAAAAGAAAAGGAAGCAGAGGCGGAAAAGAAAAAGCAGAAAAAGTGATGTCCTGTGTTTTATTATGCACTCTTTAACTATACCATTATTAATTTTTCTTATAAAATAAATATATTGCAACAAAACTAAAGAAAGAAAGCAGATAAATGAAGCACAATAAAACTGATTTTTTTTTATTCGTACTATTTATGGTCACAAAATTATATACAAAACCATTCGTCATGAGTCATGAATTTCAACATTCAGATTATGACGGGAAAGATCGCAATTTCATAGAATTGCTTTCAACAATAAATGATTAAATTTCACATATCTGTGTATATATAAAATTATCTTGCTACAATCTTGCTTGTTGACGCTTTTATTTTATATTACATTTATGCATTTTGTCTTCTTAAAAGTATAATGAATTTTTAATTTTAATATATTTTTTATTACATTAATTAAATTACTATTATTAAATAGTGATAAACTTTTCTATTCAAATGTGAATTAACAAATAATATAAATAATTTTATATGTCTATTATTTTCATGAATGATTTGATGTTGAAATATTACTATTTTATTCTGGAATGTATTCTGGAGATAAAGATCTTCCTCGATGATTAAATACTTGAAACGATGGTAAATTCCGCAGTGTCTCCCATGACTTATTTTCCAAATCGACAACTGCCCGAATTTCTTTAAAATCACCAGCGATGTACATAACACCATACATGACAATAAATAAACTGGCTATACCCTGGATTAAAATCTATAACAGTAAAAAATCGCAACAACATTCTAAGATTTGTATCCGCTTCATGGACTACTATATACAAGAATAATTTTTAACTTTCTATATAAAATGAAGGATGATATGAATTATAACTTACATCAATTGGCAAAGTAGTAAACTCCTGTTCGGTAATTCGCAAATAAGAGCGATCTATAAAAAAATTGTTATTTAATTTCATCTAATTGCAAATGTCGTTTGTTTCTTATTTTAGAAATTTAATTGTACTCTAACCGGACTTCAAATGGAAAAAAAGACAAGCTCATAACTTCGTCATATAATGTTAATATTAGTCTAACCTAAAAAAAAACTTGAGAAGAGTTGAAAGACGTATATACTCACGTTGCGCCGCGGAATAAGCTGCGTGTAATATAGACATAAATCCTACAAAAGTTATAAATTTATGTACAACTGTAGCAGACATCATGAATACGTAATATATCACAATTGATGCATTGACTCTCCACAGCGCAACAGACAGCAACAACGATACAAACAACGAGAAGATAATCGATTTACTAATTGTCCCTAGTCAGGATTGCTTCCTTTCCCACGTAATGTGCATTCCCTAGAAAAGAACATCTGTAGAAAGAAATGATACACACATGAACGACAGAGAAGAATGGCATACCTAATCTTAATTCAATCGGTAAATAACTCATCAAGTGATATCTGTATTATTTTATCAACGTGGATGGAATTATTAATTTTTTTTGATGGAATTAATAATTTGTTTTGAACGAATTTAATTTCTATCATTTTTAATTGTCAAAAGAGTTTGTTAAAATTTTGTTTTTGAAATAAGAATGAGAAAAGGAACTTACGAAAAATCTAATATTTTTGTTAAAATAAGCTTATAAAAGATTTCATCTTTTTAAATGTCTTTACATTAAAATTGAAAATTTCTAATATAACATGATTGCCAACGCATTATTGCCAATATGCTTGCATTTCTACATGTGCGTGTGCGCACGTGTGTGG